CCAAGTTTTACAATCAATTTACTTTATTTGTATTTTTTATCAATAAACACGTTAATCATCATGTCCATTCCTTCGATTACTTTTTCTTTTACCTTACCTTCTTATATTAATGCTTCAGCTGCTTTTGTTTGAAAACTGCTATCAGCCTAAAATGCTGTTAATGTATTCATTATATCTCGTACGTGTAGACGAAGACGTTATGGATCAAATTCTAGACACGGAAGCAGTGAATTACTGGGAACGTGTACGATTCGGAATGAATCAGACACAAGCATAGCACAAACGATTTTGTCGAATGTATTGGTTTTCATACAGGAAACACAATTTCGTGGCATTCCCAACGGCAAACAGTGCGCATAAATACAAGGGTGGACATAACAGAAGGGTGCGTTATCAGTACTTGGCGAATTGAAGCCAATTTTATTACCTCTAGATAATATAGGGTGTCCAACGGCGAGATAACTGAGTTATTATCTGCGAAACTAATGCGAATACAATTTGAAAATGTAAACAGTTATTATTGTTTCTCAAACAATGCTTAAAAATATTAGCATGTTAGCCACCTTTGACTATAAAGTAAGATGTTCCCCATTCTAATGTTTCAAATCTTTGATTAACCTAAATCAACGTTTGTGAAACCGGACACGTATCAGCTAGAATATTTTCAGTATACCAGTTCCAGTAATATTGATTTCTTTGTTTTAAAGAGGATGCCCTACTTTTATTGTATATTATGTATATGGTGGTGGCATCACCACCCTCAACATTGCAGCCATTTCGGACCTGTGTAAGGTAGTGCCACCACGCATCACATGTAAATATGTATTGTACATAGGTAATATGTTGTATTATTGTCGGTAAACATCCTTTACAGTGGTAACCGTTATATACGGTAGTTTTGAAGCCACAATTTTTGCCTAGAATAGATATCAGTTTCAGGGGATGATCTATTGGGGTTTAACTGCATAGCCGAAGGTGTAGCGGTCATTTCATTTGTAAGGTGCGACTACTAATTCCGGATTCTTTTATTTCATTCATTATGGTCATTAATTAATTTATACACAGGATGTCCCATTTATCTCGAGACAATTGATTATTGCGGGAACTACCGGGGATATAAACAATGATTTATATAAATTCTTCTTTATATGGAGGGGCTCATTGAATGAGCATCAATGAGAATAGCATATTCTCATTTTCACATAACTGTATTTTAAGAGTCAAGTGTAGGGCAACTTAAGTTTTTCAAATACAAACCTACACTTATTATTGAATATTCTTATTCTACATCGGAATAATAATAAACTTTCGTAGGAAACGTGTTTTCCCTAAACTTACTACTATTTTTTGAAGACACATTTTGTATGAAATTTACTCACATACTAATTACATTATTGCTACCAACCTATCCAAATATATATTCCACTTCACGGGGCAACTGATATACGTCATCATGTATCTATATCAATATATCAAAGGCAATATTTTCATAGTGAAATTAAAAAATAATTAAATAATTTTTTGGATAGGATAGTGGAAGAATAACGATCGCCATTAATAATTATTCAAATAGGTACAAGTGACATTCTTCACTACCACAACATCTGGCGACCAAAATGGCAAATCTCTGCATAATTGAAGAAAAAAAAGACTGTTGGAGCTATTTGAAGCGCAAGCAGAAACCGTTAGAGGTTTTTTGGAACAAGAAAACATTACTACCGTGTTCCTTCCGACGAGGTAGACAAAATAAATGGGCTAATGGGCGGTAAGATTTGCTAAATTATATTTTTTTCATTATTTGTAATTTAGATCTAGACTTAGGATCATTTTTGCCAATATATAGCCCAGGGCGCTAAAAACGATAGCCCGGGCCCTGGTTCGGTACAGTCGTTGATCTCTAAACGTCTCTCTTTCTCCAAATGTCAAGTGAGAAGTACATCAAGACGTTATTGAGTCGTTGGGAGAATGGACGCGATGAACCTTTGGAATTTTTGTTTACATGGAAAATCAGATTTAACTTGAACTTCCAAAGACGGCTCGGCGTCAATCCTTGTTTGATCGCTCGATACATTTACGCGAAAGATCGTTACACTCTCAATATTTGGCCTTGTTGCGTCCTCAAACTAGAATGATTGTCCTTTAGTTATTTCTTTGAATTTACTTTCATTAAATTATCCTAGCACGCCCTGTATATAACTATTTCGCCTGTCCCTGTAATATTTCTATTTGTTATGTGCGGAAGTCGGAATTGAACCTGCATTGCGCAATCATTGAACAACAATGAACATGAATCAAGAAGTCGCCGTACAACCATCAATATTAATTAACGGTGTTTTTTAAGAAGCAGCACGTCATTTTGGTCGAACATATTTGTATTATAATACCACTAACCACACCACGAATTGCGTCGGTATAATCGTCTTAGTCTAACCAGGTATTTCAACATATAATTTTTGATTTGGTAGATACAGAAGCTGCTATATGGGTACACAACTAATAAACGTGTTACAGCATATTAACATCCAAGCCTTGAACTAGCAGTCATCATTGGTACAATTAGCAGAAGGAACCGATTTAGCCCTGGGGTTGGATTTTCTGGAAAAGCACCGTACTATCATCGATACCTACAACTGTACCTTACATTTCCCGGACCAGGTAGTCCAGTTGATGCCCATAATTGATCGCGGTCTTGAAGGTCTACCCTGTATATACATACAACTTACGACGATACATACATTTTTGAGAGTTGGCAACCATGCAATTTCTAGGTGGGGAAAAGCTGCCTGCGCCACCTAGAAAGCACGAACGGGGGTTACGATTGGGATCTTGTCTTGAATTGCGGTCGTGAACGCGTCGCTCCATAAATGTTTGTTGTTATTTTGTGATATTTAAAGCAGGTAGTAATTTTTGCATTTCTTTATATCGTATTTGTGTTTTGTATGCCGTATTTTATACTTTTTGTGTGTTTCAATCTTTGATTTTGAAATTTACTTGCATTAACCGAAATGCAGAATGACAGGTTAGATACCGTTATGCTATTGTTTGTCATTGTTTACGTTTTTGGTGTAATGCTTGTTTAATTTATGTTTATTGATGTTGATTACTTGGTCTTGTCCCTGAAGTAACATTCATGTAAGTTTTGATAATTTTATTTTAATATATAGAAATTACCAATTCGTTTGAGGTATGTGCTGATTTGTTGTTTGTTACTAACAATTTTCTCCGTTAATCAAGCAGTCACGGGGGTGGTAAAAAAACTGAAATTGAAGTACGACACCTAATTTCGTGATTGTCTTCGACATCCAACTGTAGGCTCGAAACCCCGAAACCAGGGGTGGGCTACCCATCTTTCAGGATCGGGATTACGCTAATCAAAGCTCTTCAGTTTAGAATCTATGTGCGACAAATGAGTGGCGATTCAATAATTTCCACATATCTTGTTTTTAGTTAAATTTGCCTACAAAACCATGTAATTTTCCATCTTGTTTTTAACAAAAGGACTTTATTGCACCAAAGATGAGTCACATTCTATACTCTTAACCCTTTCTCAGAATTCACATACCTACTACTACCTGACCCATTGTTCCCAAAAACTTGCTTTTAACCTTGAGTGTAACCAACATTGTATATATGCATTTACCATCTTTGTTAACTTTTTCACAATTTGAGTGTTTTGTTTAACGTTCCTTCCCTATTGGGCTTCAGGGCGTTGTCGACAACTAACGTAGGCTATTGTTGTCAATTCAGGAGTGGAGCCGCAGAAGCAACGATATTATCCTTGTAATCCTGCAATACAGAAAATTTTTAATGAAGAGGTCATGGATGCCTACCCGCTCCCCTATATCCAAAGGATCATAAGCCGTTTACGGGAGGCTAGGTACATCAGCACGTTAGATTTGAAGTCTGGATACTGGCAAGTGTCGCTTAGTGAATCAAGTAAGCCAATCACAGCCTTTACGGTCCCTGACAGGGGATTATTCTAGTTCAAAGTCTTACCATTCGGACTAAATTCTGCACCAAAAGCCACATTCCAAAGACCTTAGGACAGAATTCTAGGACAAGAAAGCGATGAAAATAAGTACCTTATCTTGACGACAATTGTCATTGGTATTTAATTAATTATGCAAGAAGTTCTACGACATATACGAAGTCATGGGTTTTAATTACAGGAACTAAATGCATGTTTGCTAAGTCGGAGCTGAAGGACTCGGACCATTTAATGGGTGATCCAGAAAAGGTTGAGGCTACAGTAGAGATAGAACCACCAAGACCGGTAAAAGCAGTCCGAAGATTCCTGGAAATGGCATTGTGGTACCGAAGGTTCATCAGATTGCTTTTCAAAAGTTAAAAGAAAAACTTACCACCACAGCACCGGACCTGCCCGATTTCAACAAGAAATTTAGTCTTAAATTACTCCGAATTACGATATCTGGCCAATAAACGCATTTCAGCGAAGCGGATAATGTGAAATGTAATGCAGCTTGCTGTACGATGTGACTTCACAGAGTTTGTTGGTTGTTTCCCTAAATAGATCATGTTTTAGATTAACGTACGTCAAAGCGAAAGTTTCATCTTTGATGTAAAATACATACCCATATACCATTCTCGAAATTAGTTACGGGCGAATGAAAGGAGGCAGCCTGTCTATTACCTTTGTAGCAAATTTCCTGAAAAGGAACAGTTCTGACTTATTTTGAAATTCTATGTAACGTAGATTAATTATTCAAAAATGTAACAGGAAGCATGGTATTTTAATTACTTGCTCTTTGTTTGACATAATTTAGGGGGTGTTATTTGTGCATTCGAAAGAAAAGTTTTCTTCACTTTTATGCAGTGCTGGGTAATTTATACGGTGGGGTAACTAATGACGCAGGTGACATGCCAATGTTTATTCACATTGGGGTTGAAGCTTGAAAATGCAATAAGCGAAATTTTCCGAGATTTTCCGACTGGGTTCACGGCGACGACAACGGGGTGAAAGTGCGATGACGCGGGTCGTAGTTGTGCGTCGTTAGTGGTGGAAGCCGCTATTATTTGTCAGTTTCTTGCCACGTGGAGTTGTTTGTGTTCAATAGCGTGAGTATTTTACCTTCCTTGGTAATCACAAAACTAAAGTTTGCGGAGCTTTTCCCAATAAAGTCTAGCTGGTAAATTTGCTCCCCCAAATTTACAGTTTCGACGCTTTTTTTTCAAAATGATTAAAACAACACGAGCTGCAATGCCCTGAGGCGTCGATTATTTACCACCTGGCTTCATTAAATTTGTTTCATTTGAATTAAATTGGTTTAGTTACTTTTTCTGTTTTCGAAAAAGTAGACACAATAAGTTACATTAACATTAGACAGTAAGTAGGCAGTACGGCTGTGTGGAGTCGTTACATTACAACCCCATTAGTAGAATTGAAGTGAGTTTGTTAGTAGTCTATCAATCTGATTATTAATGCATGGCAAATTTCGTAAGATAAAATCGATTATGCTTGCAAGATTGATCTGTGTGCCTCTCCGAAATATTGATGCGGGATGTAATACGATATTAGAGCATCTGAGATTGTCAAGTGGCCGTAAAATGTATATTTCCAACATTGAATATTTCATATCATATTGCAATATGACAAGACGGCGGTGTGGAAACCCAAGTTATAGGAAAATATATAACGAGTTTTCGTCTTTTTGCGAAAACATATATGGGAATTACATTTATGAAAAGCTCACCAAACCAGATTAAAACTAGACATTTGAACTTTGATAAATCAAATGTCACACTAAATCGTATTCGAACATAATCCATTGGGAGGTTTTAGGTTTTGAACAGTTTTTCACCAACGTAACGTACTGATTTCCAGCATTGATAACGGATACCTATCATTGAATTTTATTATAGTATTAGTCCAATTATACGTTAATTGGAATAATGTACCTATACAAGTAGGTAGCCTCTCAGCCTTTGTTAAATATGCCATATTTAATTTAATGTGGAGTAACTGCAATCTTACAATCTGCGCGTGACTTTGAATAATGTATTCCAGTGTTTTTAATTGAAAAGAAGAACAAATAAAATAAGTATTTTGAAATCATTTCGCGGACACTGAATTTTTCAAACATTAGTTAATTGAAGTAAAAATGATACCTACTCAGTTGCATTGTTTGCGGTCGTCGGGGTATTCAATTTAGCGAAACCGCATTTTGTCCCAACCAAGCGAACTGATGCACAACTGTAGTTTTTGCTGACGGTTTTCATACTTTGCATAACTACAGTTATTGAATTCAAGCAACCAACTGTTTCAAATCGTTACTATCTCTTTCTCACTCATGTGTTGACATGTGATGAGAGAATAAAGAACTCGTTTGAACTTAGTTCAGAAACTAGTAGTACTAGCGGTAGGTATACCAAAAGATACTGCATTTTGTTATACCAAGGTGCCACTTGGTACAGATGTTCCTTAGAGCCATTTAGACGATTTGGCCTGAAGAACACTTGCCATTTTCCGTGTGGGTAGATTTTTAGAGGGGGTGGGGGTGATTTATTGTAAAATTTTTTTAAAACTAAATATGGCCTAGGGACGAGATCTGGGTGTCGATTGCGTATGATTTTAACCCGAGGAATTCAATGGTAGCACCAGAAATGTAATCCGGATACAGGAAGTCCGTGAAACGCCGCAATTTTTAGAAAATGACAGACTTTTGGTCGAATTATATTTCTAAGGCACACCGGGTCGTGTAAGATGTCTAGACTTATGTTTTTGGGGTCAGGGAATTCAGTTATGATAACAAAAATAAACTTAAAAACCTTAAAAAAACATAAGATATATTAAAACATGGGGTAAAAAATATATAAGCCTCTCAGAGGAGGTCAGCGATGTACTTGGTGATTCTTCATAGGCTTATACATTTTTTACCTCATGTTTTAATATATCTTGTGTTTTGTTAATGTGTATTTTTATTAAATAAAATAATATAAGTTTATATATTAAAACTTTGGAATATCTTGGGTTTCACCGCGTGCGACGTCTTCAAAAAGTGCAGTAGGGAAGCCTCTCATGCAGTTCCGATGCCAGTAGGTTATATTTGTCACCATAAATGAATTCCCTGACCCCAAAAATGTAAGTCTAGACACCTTACACGCCCCCGGTGCGCCTAAAAAATATAATTCGATCAAAAGTCTGTCATTTTCTAAAAATGGCGGCTTTTCAGGGACTTCCGGTATCCGAATTACATTTCTGGCACTACCATTGGATTCCTCGGGTTAAAATCATACGAAATCGACACCCAGATCTCGTCTCTAGGCCATATTTAGTTTTTAAAAAAATGTTACAATAAATCACCCCTACCCTCTCTAAAATCTACCCACACAGAAAATGTCAAGTGTTCTTCGGGTCAAATCGTTTAAATGGCTCTAAGGAACAACTGTACTAAGTGGCACCTTGGTATAAAAAAATGCAGTATCTTTCAAGAATTTCCGTTATACCGCTAGTACTATAAGAAGTAGACCAGGGCCACTCCGAGGGCGAGGCGACCGGAGCGATTGCTCCGGGCGCTGCGGCCAAGGGGGCGCCGTGGTCGTGTACGGAAAAAATAATTTAAACCAATATCGCCCCCGCGTTATGGAAGCACAAATATTTAAAAATAAGTTGTTCTATAACATTGGTCATTGCGAAAGCTAAAGCAAGTAAAATTCCTTTAGGAGTTGAAACTTATTATTTTTTAGTTTTGAATTACAGTATGATTACATTTCCTATATAATATGTAACTGTTATTGTAAACATAAACAAAATAAAAAAATAAATGTGTGGTGTTTCTAAAATGCATTCTTATAAAAATATCTAGAAATACCTTTATGGTGAGTGGAGGGGGGCGCTGATTAAACTCTCGCCCCGGGCGCCTATTAGCCTCGGGGCGGCCCTGAAGTAGACATACGAATTTCCGTCTTAAATCGTATGGTTGGGTTTTAAACGTGCGCAAACTACGTTCTAGGGGGTTCACTCATTCACTGAAGACATATTGATAATAGAAATGCAATGACAATATCTAAAATTACAGGAAAAAAGTTCATATTTCAATACGAATTTAACAAGTAGTCGTTTACATTTGGGGCTACTCATGCTTCTGTCTGAGAATTTTCTATATACTTAGTTGGTAGCAGTGCCTGTATGTAATAATTTTAATTGGTTATATCATTATAACCTCGCTTTCTACTGAATGTCTATAGTATGAGAGAACTGTAATCTCATTTTAAACCTTTTGTGGGGTGTAATACGCTAAAGATAGCTTCAAATTCTGGAGCTTTAAACCGTTGAGTGAAGAAATCCAGATAGAGGCGCAACGTTTATACTAGAAATCGTCGCGAACGTAGGATTTGAGATTTATACAGCGCTTATGGAATCTCAGATCTCGACGGCAAGTTTCTAGTAGAGAAGGGAAATGCTTAGTTAGACATAAAAGTGACACGATTTGTCTTATGTAGGTTGCGTACCTAATTCCTTCACTCAACGGTTAAACGGTTTCGGCCTCAAATCATACCTGTTATATATACAGGGTGGGTGGAAGTTTGTGGGTTTATTAACGCGCATACTTAAAATTCATTGTGGGGGAATGTTGAAGGACCCTTCAGGCTACAACCTAAATATATTTTCTACGAAATTGCAATCGTTATACAGGGTGATTATATCAAAGTTGCATTTTTTTAATGGATTCCTCTGTATATTATTACATATTTGCATTCCTTAGTCAGTGTGACTTTATGTATTACACATGATATCTAAAATGAGTAGTTTAGCCGCAATTCGTCATTTTTTCAAAAAATAGATGTCCAGTAAAAATTTAATATCGCAGTTATCATAAAACTTAGAAGGCCGTGACTTTGCAGTGGTACTAACATACGCTGAACGACTAAAGTTAAACTTCTTTTGTGTTAAAAGAAATCACTCCGTCAATTTTCAAATCGCGAATCCAGGTAAACTGGCTTCAATTTCGCGAAAGTTACACAACAATATGCACAAGAATAATAAGTCAATGTTCCGCTCTGTTGATATTAATTTAATTACAGGAAACGGTTTGAAATATTGAGTTGGAATTACCGGTATGGGGCTATTTTTTGACATACAATTGACAGTTCCAACTTCCAGAAGAGTTCAGGTATACATTGACCGGTCGTGTCGCAATATACTAGTGCAAAATATGGTTCTTATATTGAAATACACTATTTTCTTAGATCTACAATTTAATTGCAAATGTCGAGAATTGGCACGCTTGATATAAGTATTGTACTGTGCGATCAAAAATGAGTTGCTGTCGAGTTACCTTTGGAACTTTTCGTATTTAATTTGAACTTCCAAAGGCGACTCGACAGCAACTCATTTTTGATCGCCCGTTAAGTAGGTGGAAACGTGTGCTTATTTATTGTGTTTCTTTTAATAAAATATCTTCATTCGTGCATAAATTAATTTACGGCCAAACGAATCATTACGCTCCCTAGAGATATGGATTCCAATGTAAGTTTTTATGGCTCAACTTCGTTTCGGGCAACAAACTGGACCCTCGGGGTTCAAACACACACTTTAGTTTCTTGCTGTATAATATACTATTTCAGTTTCTTTTTTATTGATCACGCATTGTCAGGTCGTCCGGCGTCCACAAAAGTCCCTCAGATGACGGAGACAGAATTAGAGGTAGAAAACTCCTATCTATAGCGATTGATACTCGTATTAACTGTGAGCTTTTTTCATTCCAAAGTTGTATCACTTAAAGTATTATCACGTTTTTAACCTAAATATTTATTAACTGAGTTTTTCCTTACCTAATTTGTTAACATTTAATTGGGCACTTATGGAATGCAAACTGTACCTATATCTAGCCAAATGGACACTCACATTGTCAAAGAATCAAAAAGTCATTCCCGATTCAAGTCAAATGCTGTAGGCAAAATGTGCTTCGAAATATATATTTACCATTTTTAAATTGTTGCCTCTATTGAATCTTGAGAATTTATCAATATTTCATCAAAGTATGCAAATTTTCAATCGCACGTTAAAGCAACCGGAGCACGTCGAATGTCTCGCAATATGGGCAATCTTTCGAAATTTAGTTAATATATAGCTGAAAATGTTTTTTCGAAAAAGTGTTGCTTCAATCAAATACAAAAGGATGAACGAAGTGCTCATCTTAAAACATAAATTATGAGAAATGTCGTATTTTCCTTTTTCCCAAATGGCGTATACTTAAAATGAAAGCGCCTGGGTTGCCCATTTAGTGAGAATTTATTATTAATTTCAAGCTCTAAAGGCCTTCAATTCGAGTAATTGTTCGGGTATATGTGCGAGTATTAGTTTGATTATAAAATTCAGTAGGTACATTGAATAAGTAATTATTTAATGGTAGGTATCTATAACGAAATTTTAAAGGAATTCAATTTGTTTCTAAATAATAATGGACTGTATTTTTGAAATTACCATCAAAGCAATAAAATAAACTAATTATCAACTTACCCTTTTGTCAATGCCTGGATCTCCTTCAAAGTAGGTATAGGGAAAGGTGGTAAGAGGGAAAAATGAGGGACAAGTTGACAATAGTATTTGAACGACGTATACTGACAGTTAAGGGCACAAATTACCCTGCTACGCACTGGTAATATGTACCTTAAAACGTTACGTAAAATGAAAATTATTTTGAATACGAGCAAATAGCACGCACGCATCCGACTGTGTCTTTCTATATATTGGCTGGGTCTTTCCCAATGGCGTGTGTACTATCCTTTTGATATGAATTATTTTACATATGAACTAAACACAATTTGCAACTTTTTTATGTGCATCTGGAGGAATCTTCATCAGTTTTGTTTCAAAATTTCAATGATACAAGCTGTTTTATAGCTAAACATGGAAAGTCTTTTAAGGAAATTGCCGCCAGGGAATTCGGTTCAGAATCGACTAGCATTTTATTTTGTCTTGTTATTAAATGAAACGGAGTACTAAATTTCTGAAGTTAAATTACATTCAACTACTGAACTTTCATCTCAAATTTCAATCGATTATTTTTTATCTGAAATCGGACGTAAACCACCTTTTTATTGTCCATCAGTTCTGAACACGCGGAAGCGGAACTAAAATTATACTAGAGACCTAGAGTAGACAAAACTTCTAGTCCTTTAGTATGTTGCCGCGTCGATTACGTCGGTGATAATTCACGTTCGTTCGAGAAACTTAATCGAAATCGAGAAGGGCATTGAATTGTCCCGAGGTAGGTAAAGGAAAACGATTATAAATATTGCTGTCTGCAATGCCCCGGCTTAGTTAGCCCTCTTATTAAAATGTTCCCAGGACACATCTGAATCTCAACACAATGAAAAATTCCAATCCCGACTTCAAATTCTAAATTTTATGGTAAATAATGGTCACGATCAAATTCCTTAAGCTCCAAGAAGAATTGCTTAAATAAAGTTCGAAGACGGTACGGATCAACATAATTAATCTTAATTTAAGCTTGAAACATCTATCTGGATTGTTAAAGGGTTCGAATAAAGACACGATTTACTTGAATTAACACAGACAAGGTTTATTCCAACACACATACCAAATTAATAACAAAATTCTACCAATCAACGTAGACTTCTGCCACCAATTTCAGTATTTAAAGTCACTCTCCTACTTTCCAAAATTTGACCATTTTCCTCCAATTACCGAACACGTAGCAACACAATTTCTTGCAACCGTTTCTTGTTTCTCCTTAGCGTTACGTATCCAAATTTTTACTCTAAATTCTATTGTCTCCGGTAACATTTTATTACGAAAACACTCAGGTTTTTGTCCGTTAAACGCATTCTTATCCCCGACATTATGGCTCAATGGTAGAGCGTTGAGTTATAAATCCGGAGGTCGGGTGTTCGAACCTGGGTTGAGGTGAATTTTTCATCTGTGGCAGAGATGGAAATTACCTTAGACCAGTTTCGAGCATTCTTCCGGCTACTCCGAATTAGGTTTTCCTGCAGTTTTCCTAATTCGTAAGGTAAATTCCGGAGTAGTGTTGAACAACTTAAGACCTTCTGCAGAGGCACCTCTAAAAAGCATTATGCGGGTCACTCTGTAATTGGGCGTAAGCCTGTTGAGGGCCTAGAACAAGAGAGGGATAATAAATAAATAAATAATATAATCATCCTTTTAACACAAGTAATAAAAGTGCCCATAAATTTAAACAGAACTGTCACTTAAAAGATTTAACAAAGTAAAATTGATATACGAATCAATCTTTTAAAAGGAATAACAAACCCTTTAGATACAACTAGAATCGCACTAATCATTTTCTGTTTAAACTTAAAGACCCCACCAGAATAATGAATGAATATTTGAAAAGAAAATTTGATTATTAAAAATGCTTCATCATTAATTCAGACGCCTGGACCGAACATCAACGTCCACATAGAGACGCTTAGATAAATAGTTTAAACAATTTTAGCGTGATGACTCTGGAAAATTTCCACTTCAGATATCAACATCTTTTGCAAAAATCAGAACCGGTCATTTCAACTACAAAAGCAAGAGTAATATTTTCTCAATACCTATGGTACGAATTACTCCTAACACACTAAGAGCGCATTCAGTCAGTCACCCAAAACATTCAACGAAACAACGGGACGTTATATGGTACAGCAAGTACGCGAAGAATGAACGTTTTTAGACTTATTGAAGGAGGAACCACAGGTTCAGGATTCAGGATTACAAATAATGTTACCAGTATCTAAGGTCAATTTGGAGCGGAAAAAAACCGCCTCATACGAAAACCGAACACGAGTTGGATATATCGATAAGCGAGTGATAATAAGGGTAAGTAGAAAAGCGTGCGTTGTTGCCGCGATTACGGCGACCGCGGCTAGCTGCGAGGTTCCACAGAATCGTTCGGCGACGAGTGTAAGGGAATGAAATACGGACCAATTTTATTGAATCACCGCGAGCTGGGTCTTGGTTCTGTTTCGGTTTTTTACTTGGGCAACTACATATAGAAAATGAGGCAGCGAAAGACGCCTAGACGCATATGTATTGGACCAAATCAGACACTACTTTTCGACTATTACAATAAAAGTATTAGATATTGTCGATAAATTGGCAAAACCTCATAGTATCAAGTAAGCTTAATCGTATTCGTTAAATGTGTAGTCTTTTTTATATATAAAATTCTTCTGTACGTGTGTTTGGGACTGAACTCCTACTAAACAGCTGGCCGGATTTTCATGAGATATTTGTTATGTCTCCGTGTGTCCACGGGCGGTTTAGATTCAATTGGGCCCGATCGGATTATATGATTTTTTAAAATTTATTTTTTCGTTAATGTCGCACTCTGATATTTCGCGTATCGTGCCGGTGTGTTTACATTTTTACAATCTGTAATCTGGGTTTTCGTTATAATATATTCGTCAATATCGAGCGGGAGAAAATGTATAATAAGTATGATACATTTTCATTCAGAAAATGGTATTTCATATTTGCGTTGGTCCAATACATCCGTGACTAGGCTCGTATTATTAATTTCGCCGTTACAAGTAAAGCTATATTTTTAAATTGCAGACGTCTAAAGTTAAACTAAAAAGGTAAATTTACCGAACGTTCAGTGACCTCAGTGGGACGAAATAGCGGCACAAACAAACTCTCCGTCGTAAAACGTTCTTCGTTGAAAATCAGAGAGCCTTAAATTGCATTTCAAGTGGCATTTTACTTATGAACAAACTCAAATAATAAGTAGAAAAATTATCGTGTGCAAGGTTTGGAATTTGGCTTTTTATTTCTGTTCACTAATACCCATAATAACTCGAGAATTTGAAGTTTTGAATGCCTTAGAGGCAGAGACTTCTTAGAGGTTAATACAAGCTTCATTATTCTGAAAATGTCCATACTACGAGAGTGGGTCTCAAGGATTCTACTTTATCATCCCAAAATATATCCACTTTTCAATTTTTCCTGGAGGGAGCTTTTTTCAAGGGAGGACTATACCAATTGCCACCTAAAGAAAAACATCTTTAATTGTTAAATTTATACAATAAGTTTTGAAAGTGATATTTTCATGAATTTGCAGTTTGATTAATGAGGGCGAAGAAATTAATGAAAGAGATATACACTTCCAACACGTGTTGTAAACGAAATTTTTGCAGGGCACTTGTTTTTAAGTAACAACTCCAATTATTAATCCAATAAAGGAGTTATATTTAGTGATCAAGCGAACTTACCTTAAGTGAAGTTCGATCATAATTATATGAAGTGTCCAATCCGAAGATATCACTTAGATTATACACCATGTAGTACACCCATGTAGTACTGTTGCGCACTATGTTTAAAGAATAATATTTGAATTTCCCGCTACCCGCGTCTATCTTACTCGACCCACGCCCCTCTACGCTCATTCTTCAGAGATAAAAAGGAGAGGGCCGAATTATTGGCAAGGGGAAAAGACAAAGAGGGAGGGAGGGGAGTGATATCTTCGGATTGGACACTTCATATAATTATGATCGAACTTCACTTAAGGTAAGTTCGCTTGATCACTAATTATATATCAGTGTCCAATCCTCAATATCACTTAGATTATACACCATGTAGTTGTTTAGAGATCAGGAATAATTCGGCCCAAGCAAGCTGAGGCAACTCTGTTGTCTTATAAAGTAACCTTTAATAACCGAATATCCTAACTAAACAGCGTAAACTGGTTGTGTACACAACCGAAACTATTAAACGAAACAATAACCGAAAGGAAATATAAGATAGCTTTCTTGTACTAGCTATTCGGTGCCATATGATAGGGTATCCCCGTGATCCACAGCGCGGCGTTAGATGCCCTCATCCAGTTGACTTGATTGGATCACGAATTTGGCAAAAGCAGTCGGGTCCAAGATAGGCCGATTATAAAACGTTGTGAAGGTAGAGGCCCGAGTCCAACCCGCAGTTTGAAGAATGTTTGAGAGAGAAAGCCCATGCCTATATGCCGCAGAAGTGGAAGCATGACGGAACGAATGCGGCTTGAAAACATTTGTATCCAATCCAGCCGTAAGCAAAGTGTTCTTAATCCAGCGACTGATGGATTGTTTGGTAGCGGTTTTATAAGGCTTTTTAAAAGTAATAAACAGGTAGTCCTGATTCGGAGTCCGGAGGGGTTTTGTGGCCTCTATGTAGTCAATCAAAGTAGTAGCTACACAGAGTAAGGGATTTTCAGCAAATCTTGGTATTTGCAGGCAAGGCTGAGATCGATTGGTACCCGAAGTTTTAATGGGGTCAGTGATGGGAATCTGTATGCCCTGTGGAGAGGTATGTAAGTTTGTTAATTTGATTAACTGGATTGTCTGCAGGCGATGGCCTGTGGCCAGAGCTAACAAAGTAACTAGCTTGGCTGACAAATCCTTCAGGGATAAAGTAGAATTAGGTCCGAGTTTCTGAATGTACTCAAGCACAACGTTAGGGTCCCAGGTGCTATTATAACGTGGTTTCGAAGGTCTTAGTCTAGCGATTCCTTTCATAAAGCGCGAAAGACGCGCATCGTTTGACAGTGGTTGCAAATGAATAAGCGCCAATGCTGAGCGATGGGAATTCATGCTACCGTACTGGAGATTGTTTCCCTCGAACGCCCGCTGTAAAAATTCTATTATGGAGGGAGTCGGTGCTTGAAAAGGAGAGAGAGATCGTTCGCTGCAGAAGTTCCACCACTGTCGATAAGTTGTTTCATACTGTCGCATGGTCGAGTCGGAGATGGATTCTACCATGGTGTCGATGGCACAGTCCGGGAGTTCTTTCTTGCGAAAAGCCTCGCAGATAAGTGCGCGGCCACCAGGGTAAGTGCGCTTGACAGCGGATGTTGGTGACTAAAAATAGAAGATAACGTATAAGTTTTTGGAGGAAAAACCTCTGCCTTTTTGGTTAACTCTTGGAACAACGGGTACCAAGGTTGCCCTGGCCAAAGAGGTACGACTAAAATACCCTCAGCTCTATCCTGGATAAGTTTTTGTAGAACTCGTAAAATAAGAGAAAACGGTGGAAACGCGTAAAAAAACTTGTTGGTCCACCTTACGGTAAAGGCATCGACTGCCCACGCTCCAGGATCTGGTCTCCAAGAGACATACTTTTCACATTTGAAATTGTGGTGGGACGCAAAAAGATCTATCGAAGGCTTTCCTAGAGAGTGGCTAATTATATCGAAAGTGGTTTCGTCAAGCGACCATTCGGTATCAGTTGGGAGGACACGGGAGGCTCTGTCAGCCCTCCAATTATCTTGGGAGCTGATGTGTGACGCGAACAACCAAATATGGCGCTGTTCGCACCATTGCCAAATGTTGCGAGATAAGCGGCTAAGGGCAGGATATTGAATGCCGCCCATTTTATTGATGTACGCGAGAGCTGTGGTGTTATCAGTGCGAATTAGTACATTAACCCTTGTCGAATCCGATACAAAAGATTGTAGGCCGTAAAAAATAGCGAGAAGTTCGAGGATGTTGATGTGGTACGTCTTTTCCTTTGGGGACCACCAGCCGTGAGTTGTTTGTGTATTACAACAGGCCCCACCCAGTCAATGAAGCGTCTGTATATAACTCCACATCAAAAGTATCCTGGTGAAGATCGTTAAAGGCACCTATAACAGTTTGGCTCCACCAGCGTAGGTCCTTAAGCGCAGTTGATGTCAAAGTGACAAGCGCGTTGTAATTTTCGTGACTGGCAAGAAGTGCTAGATATTGTTCTCTAGCTAATAATTTTGTATAGAGCCAGCCGTACTTTGTAGCGGGGCATATCGCAACAAGCGAACCAATAAGAGTTGCTAACTCGCGAATGGAACAACTAGGATTCTTTATTCGATTGTCAATTAAAAGTTTTAAGTGGCTAGCTTTCTCATAGGGGAGTTCAAGCTGCATTGTTTAACTGTTAAATATAAATCCCAGAAACTGTTGCCTCTGGCTAGGTACTAACGTTTAGGGTATACGCGACGTTTTGTGTGCAATCCTCTTTGGTCTTACCAAAGATTAAAAAATCGTCTAGATAGTTCACGCAGGAGATGCCCTGTTGTCGTAGATGGGAGACTACAGGTTTCAAAAGCTTGGTAAAACAATAAGGCGCGGAACAGAGACCAAACGGAAGGCAAGTGAACTCAAACAGATTATCCTCAAAAGCGAAACGCAAATAACCCCTGTGGTGTGGGGCTACCGGTACTAAAAAATAAGCGTCTTGCAGGTCGATTGAGGCCATGAACGTGTTCCTATGTAACAACCGCGACGCCGTACGATAGTCTTCCATTTTGAAATGAGAAGTAGAAACAAACTCGTTAAGTGCTTTAAGATTTAAAATAAATCTTTGTGTACCATTTGGTTTAGTTCGCAAAAAGAAACTAGAGATAAACTGGTTTTTGCAAGGAGTGCAAGGTTGTATAGCCCCTAGAGCTAGTAAGTCTTTGATTGCGGACTGTGTGTGTAACCTTTCTAATTTAGATAAGGTTTTGTAGACCGGTCGCTGTTGCGACGGTGTTGACGAAAACGGAATGCAATATCCTTTTATCCAAGACAGTGGCTGAGGGTCAGTCGTAATTTTGGTCCAGGTGCGATAAAAAAATTGTAAGCGACCAGCGGGTAGCAATGTACTTACCTCTACTGTCGACGTTGGTAATGGTAGCGTGTTTTTGAGGGCTGGCCCTTCTGTGGCTGAGCTCTGCCCGTTGAGCGAGCCGGGCGATTGCGGTTTAACGGCCCGCTATTATAAGGCCGGCTAAGGTTAGCGCTCTCTCCCCCCTTTTCCCCCCTGGCAAACTTTGGAAGAGTCCGTCTGGACGAAACAGTAGAGGTATGTGATACCGGCGGGGCCTTTAAGTCCTTCCCAGCTTTAGCCACTAATTTTGCAGCTTTTATTTGCTCTCCTAACTCGTTTCCAAAGAGAAACTGAAGCGGAGTAGATTTCTCGACTATAACCTTCACTGATTTGCTTAGAGAAGGATAAATGAGAGTACGCCGGAGTGACATTTGATGGAGAAGGTCTAAATGTATGCGACTTGCATCCCTCAATCCTGCCAATAAGCGAGCTGTCAGATCTTGGGAAATAATTTCTTTATTCTCAAGAATTAAATGAACAGCCGAGGCTAGGGCCGAGCTACCGTGACTTAGTTGTGTCTGCATTTGCAGGTATGCATTGTCACGTTTTAGGTTAGGTCCCGACAAGATAGAAGAAATCTCCGGATTAAGAATTGGTGGGGTCAAAGCGACGCAATTCGATGGCAACTGATAAGATTTGAATAAAGAGTCGCGCTCCGAAGAAACGAGGCCATTAGCAATCACATGACTCCAGCGGGAGTTTAAAGCTTCGTGAAGGTTGAATGGCGCCGGGGTGTTTTGTCGGGGATCCTCTCCTAAGACATGCAAAAATGCCTCCGGCATATCGTCTTCATTATTAATTTGTAAAACCGGTGACTCGTCAAAATCGGGCGGATCTGGAGCCCCCTCGCTGGAGGTTACAGTCGCAGCTGGCGCCATTTTGCGCGGAAAATGATCGACCAGCCGTTCAGCGCTAGTCGAATCGTGCAAGAAACGATCTGCGCTATGTCTCGGTGACTCCGCGCCGGTCGGGCTGCGATAATCACGAGCACGGCATTGCCGTTGTGTTGCCGAAGGTCCGGAGGCTTTGGGGCTCCTATAACACTGGCGGCGAAGGGAGCTGCGAGAACAAGAACGGCGTTTGCTTCGAGAACGTGTACGATCACGATGGCGGCGTTTGACCTTGCGAAGCTTACGTTCCAACTTACATAAACGTTTTGTCAAATCTTGTTTTGAAATACTAGCCTCCGAGTCGCTAGAAAAGTCCTCTGAGGGACTCATACCTAACTAAAACCCTAAAAACCTAAGGGTAAAAGGAATTAGAAGTTAAAACTTACAGTTGAAAACCTACAGTTGAAAAAAGTGAGGTGCTAACACGATGTGTACGCAACGAGCACTAAAAGGTGAATGAGCGTAGAGGGGCGTGGGTCGAGTAAGATAGACGCGGGTAGCGGGAAATTCAAATATTATTCTTTAAACATAGTGCGCAACAGTACTACATGGGTGTACTACATGGTGTATAATCTAAGTGATATTGAGGATTGGACACTGATATATAATTAATATTATGACTATAGACTATACAAGATGCAGGATCAACTTAATGGAACTCTGCTGTATGATGCTCTTGAAATCGTTCTAATAAACAAAATGTGTAGTAAAAAATTGTAACGATTTCGGCGAAATTTGGTCTTTTAACCTGAAATTATCTAATCAGCATTAGAAAGTTTTTGAAAATTCCGATTGCATTTGTTGGCTGTACAATGAAAGTGATCAAAATATTGTTGTGTAAACTTCCTAAGCCTGAAAGATACCCACACAACTTACCCTTACTAGCTCAATCCCACACAAACTCTTAAAAACACAAATCTCAGGGCCCGTAAAATGAGTCCGACCACCCCTTTTCTTCGTCCGGACAAGGGGTAGCAACCTCGCCAGGTCGGTGGCTAATACCTCCCTTAAATTCCAATATGAAACTTTACCCCCAGATTTAATAAACTTGAAACAAAGTAAGAGACGCCGACAATTACCTCTCTTTGACTCTAATAAACAAAACCTGGATTGCAATGACTGGTTTAATTTCAGACAAAAAATTGCGTAAATTTCTGTTTTACAAATTGTTACAATTTTAAACAGATAAATGACACACACAAAAAAAAACAAATTACTCAAACATTACAAACAAAACAAGACAAAACAAACCACTAACTACTACTTACTTTTAAAATTAGTCCGAGTAACGTACTCCGATAAAAAGAGGTATCCGTACACAATCACGCAAACCAAACACTCAAACACCGACGTCTTCTCTCTTCGGGTACCCACAAATTCAAAACTTCCGTGTTTCCGCAAAATAAAAAAAAAAACAGGACGACGACAAACTTCTTAAACTTCTCAAAAATTCTTCTTAAACGGCAGACAAAAATTCTAACTAAACCTGGATCCACTACGCAAGAAACTTCCACAAAATTCAAAAATCACGTAACCGAAGAAGCGCCGGTTGGCTTTGTAACGACTAAAAAGCCCCGCTCTCTTCAAAAATTTTCTATTTAAGCCAAAAGCCCTTCTCCTTTCTTCAACATCCCGTCCGCCAATCACGCGAAGCGTCGATTTTTCAACTTCTTGCTAAACGGCACGTACGCCCGGCAATTCTGCGAAGAACCTTATCTCTACTTCGCGCTATACCTCGTTAACGGCAAATAAAATTTAAAAAAGAAATTTACATCGAAAAAAATTCTAGGAATAAAATAAAAACAGAACACTTCTAAGAAATTGAACCAAAACTATAACATGAAATTTACGCAATCCTGTGTCTCAAATTATTAATAACCCCCCCGGTTAATTAATTGAACTAAACAAAATTGTCACATCCAGACGCTCTATAATTTCTTTCAAGTTACAACTAAAACAAAATAACACAACATTTTTCCCCCTTTAAATTGAACACAAAAACACAAAATTACAATCCTCCCCTGACTACAAATAAAAAAAAACTTTGGAATTACCGGGTTTTTATGGGCAATTTAACCAACCGACCCTAACACGCGAGCCGCCCTGTCCAGATTCAAAAAGGTGCCGCCCCCCACCTCCGGCCTGAGATCCCTATCGTCCCTAAGTAAAACTTTAAACCCACACTCAAAATCTAACACCATTCTAGCAAACGCCAAACATTTCTTATCCCTACATGACCGTACTTCAAATGAATAAACCTAGCCATTTCCGCAAAATATTCCCTGTCTACTACGTACACTTCCTGTTCGCCTACCATTTTTATTAAAATCCCATCTACCAATTTACATCCCTTATACTGTTCCCTCTCTACTACTTTCTCCATTAACCCTTGCATTTCTTGCGCCTGCTGACTCTCCCTAATCCTTTCTAACGTGAATAACCCTGTTTCTTCCCTTAACTGGTTTACACAAACTACTAGCTCCTTTTCTATTTCTTTCTCCCCTAACCCGTTCCTAGATAAAATGTCCGCAATTAAATTATCCTTCCCCCTTATGTACTCAATTTTAAAAGAAAATTCCTGAAGAATGAGACTCCACCGGTATATCCTGTTGTTCGCAAAACGAGTTGACATTAAATGAGTTAAAGCCCTATGATCTGTCTCAATAGTAAATTCTTTCCCTATAAGGTAAAATTTTAATTTAGTTACACAATAAATCACCGCTAACATTTCTTTTTCAGACACTGAATATTTCAGCTCCGGTCCCCGTAATACCCTAGACACAAACGAAATAGGAACTTCTATTCCTTCCTGATATTGCACTAACACCCCCGCAACGGCCCCATCTGAAGCGTCCGTTCTCAACACAAACCCTTTTGAAAAATCCGGGTGGTATAACCTGATTCCTTTACATAATTCCGCCCTCAACTTTTTAAATGCTTCTTCTTTCCCTTCATCCCATTTAAATTTTACCCCTTTATGTAATAACCCGACTAACGGTAATGAAATTTCTGAATACCTTGGTACAAATTTCCTATAATAATTTAACATCCCCAGAAACCCTCGTAATTTCCTAACATTTGTTGGTCGTGGAAAATTATTAATTTCATCCAACCGGCTATTTTCTACTTCCATCCCAATTTTATTTATTTCAAAGCCTAAAAATTTAACCCTGTCTTTTATAAATTCGCATTTCTCTATGTGTAATTTCATTCCATTCCTGTTCAATTCCCGCAATATTACTTGAATGTGATTAAAATGATCCTCTAACGTGTCACTAAAAATGATTATGTCATCAACATAATGTAGGCAAAATTTATCGAATTTATCGAGAATGCACTGCATTGCTCTAACTAATGCTGCGCACGAGCTGGCTAGTCCAAATGGAACTACCTTAAATTGATACGTGACACCATCGACACTGAACCCTGTAAATTTTCTAGAATTTCTTTCTAAAGGAATTAGCCAAAACGAATTTTGTAAGTCTAATTTCGTAAAGATTTTATTCCCCCCAATTTTCCCTAATAAAGACTCTATTTTCTGGGGCGATTCTAACTGAGGTGTTGTCCGTCGGTTAAGTTCGCGCGCGTCTAAACATAAACGAAGCGAGCCGTTCTTCTTCTTCACGATGACAAGCGGGTTGATAATGTTAGTTGTGGCCTTCTCAATTATTCCGTCTTCGGTCATTTTCGTTAACACGGTTCTTACTTCATTTCGATAATGGAAAGGCACCGAATACGTTTGGATTTTCCCCATTTTCCTATCATCCACTTGCAACGTGTGTTCGTAACCTCTCGCCATTCTCACTTCGTCATTGATAAGTTCACGATTTTCCTTCAGTATTCCTGTTACCTTTTCCGACCACTCTTCTGGGCAATTTAATTTTGACATTTTCCAATACTCCTCATTCCCCCATTTCTGACAAACGTTAATTTCCATTTCGTTATCCGGGTCTTTCTTGATCTTTTCGTCTTCTATTTTCACTTCTAATTTTCCTATTCTTACATTTCCTTTTCCTATATCCACAATTCCATCATACATTTTTAAAATGTCAATCCCGATAATTAAATCCGCCTGCATCCCCGCTAAAACCAATAATTCTTCCTGCAGCCGTTCACCTCCTACTTCAATCCCTAAAATAAATTTTCTTTTGACGTTGGCGAAATTTTTCTTATTTGCCGTTATTAATTTTAATCCTTTAATGGGTACGGTAAAACTCTCCACTCTTCCTAAATTTTCTTTAATGAAATCTTCTGAAATTAAAGAAACTTCCGCCCCCGTGTCAATCAATGCCTTGGCCCTTTTTCCTTCCACCAGCACCCCTATTGTTGGTAAATTGGTAATGAAGTTGTCCGATTTGTCTTCCGCACTATTGTCGTCAATTTGAATAAATTCTTTCGGGTGCGAGTACACGTATCCGACAATAGCGCGGCCTCTTAAAAATCCGTCGGTGGTGGATGGACTTCGGCTCTAACCACTTCTATTTTGTTTTCCTCTCCGGTGTCCCGCGTCGGTTTTAAAATCTGGTTAATACGTCTCCTGTCCTGTTCTGCATTTCCCTCCCCTCGTCTCTCTTCTCGGGCTCCTCTTGCATAATCCGGTCTTCTCTCCTGCTCCCTCTGGTCCTTCTGATATTCCCTTTCGAATTTCTGTTCATAATTAAACTCGCGGTTAAAATTCCCTCTATTGTTGTTATTCCTATTAAAATTCCCATTATTCGCATTCCTGTTATAATTTCCATTGTTGTTATAATTGTTGTAATTTAGGTTCAAATTCTCCATCCGGTTACCCCTTTCTTGATACGCTCCGTATGGTCTGTTTCCTCTCCACTGGTTTCCGTATCCTTGTTTTTCATACTGCCGTCCTTGCTCCCTGATCTTATAATCGTAGGCGGCGTCCTTCTCCTCGTCAGCCGTGTCGTAACGTTTGAGCATCCTTAAAAATTCTTCGTACGTGGTGATGTCGTCCTTCGTGACCTTCTGGGAAATCTCCTCTTCATAATGTTTTGCCAGCCGCCTTACCAGCACTGATTCCTGTATCCCATTTTCTAGGTGTTTAAATTGTGAATAATTTTCCATCAGGTACTTCACACGGCTACCCCTATTTCGGTTATACTTTCCCATGTTTAATTGGTCCCGTGTTTTATTTTGCTCCCAATCGCCCCAGTATTGGCTTATAAAATTTTCCTTGAATGACTCGAAGTTGGCAATCTTCTCGTCCACCGTGTCATACCAAATCTGCGCGTCTTCCTTTAGAACACTTCTTATCAAGCTGATTTCGTCCACGTTCGTGAATAGTTTCCCAAAAATTCGCCTGTTGTTTAGGATCGTCGCCTCTAAAATTTTTAGAAACGTCATAGGGTGGACTTTTCCCTTACCCGTGAACTGTTCCAGACGATCTAGGTCCCCTTTAAAATTGTTGGCGTACTGTATTCCTCCCTGTCTCGGCTTATTCTCCAATTCCTTCCGTAGTTCTTTTAATTCTTCCTCACTCGTACTTTTATTTTTGTTGCAGACTTCTTGCATATGACA